GTTCGTAATAGCCTATATAAACCAATCATAAAATTGTCATTAGGAAAATATAAGACAACAATATTATAGAATGCAAATTATTAGTTATTGTCCAGCAGTGTATTTGATTTCATATAGCCAATTAAAAATAAGAGATAAAAAACTAATAAAACCTGTCAATTAGACATAAATAAATAAATACATTCTGGCTACACTCCCTGCTGCAGCCCACCCCCCTATCATTATGCCTCTATTAGCTAGTTATAGATTACGAGTTGTTGTTTTAGGTGTAGCCTACAGATGACTTGCTGCTATGTTTAATAATGTATGTTGTTAGAATAACATTCTGTACCATAAATGCATTGTCTGCTGGTTTATTTAGCTACTTTACAGTGCACCACATTAAGTATACCACTTAGTAGGGTACTGTATAACTTTGAATGTTAAAGTGCAAATTACCACCTGACCACTCTTGTGGGTTTGCTACTGTTGCAATTAAAATCATAGAAGGGTAAAAACATGGCAGGCAGACATTGGTATGATGTAAGCAACACTACAACAAATAAATTGCTAATGGTGTATTATAGTGTGCGAATAATCAAGCATTGACAATAATCAGTTGTATTGGCAGCACCAAGGGGCCCCCAAATAAAATTCTGCTTAGGGCCCCATAAAGGCTTGGGCCGGCCCTGCATCCCTAAATAGACCCTGAGAACAATTAAAGAAGCTTTATTTTGAAGAGTGTATTTGTTTTACAGATGTTTTGAGAATTTATAAATTATATTCTTTTTTGAGAATGTTACGAGAATTTATAAATGCATGGCTCAGTGGGTCTGGGGCAGGAAATATGACTTTCTCTACAACATGGACGGTGAGAACAGACCCGTTTGTAAATTTGCAATTCAGTGCGAATAATTAGCAAGCTCATTTCATGCTGTGATCCCTCAGATAAAACCGTGCCTTCTACTCTTCTGGAAAGTGAGACGAGAGACTATAGTGCCGAGAAAAGAAAGAGACATTGATCTTCTGGATTTCAGTGATGGTGATCCTTTCATTGTATTATATGCACATATAACACATACTATAATAAAAGATCATTTACTCCCCCTCATGTAGTTTCAAACTCCTACAAACTTTCTTTCTTCAGTAGAAAACAACAGGAATAATCATGCTGCTTTTTTTCTCATTCATCGTGATCACCAGAGGTCACACTTACCTTAAAAAACATGCAAGTACTGTGTATCATTTAAACTGATAAAAAAGAAAACCATTTAAACAAAAGTGCATATGATTTAATTTGAACCATATTTATCAATAATATCTGGAGAGAGCATTTCCATTCATCTCAGCCTTATGATTTCAGTGAATATTAACTTTAATTTCAACTGAAATGTTTCTCTCACCCTTTTAATGAAGTGATACTACTGTGCTTTTCCGCTGCAGACAGTGAGAGGAGCTGCTGATATGTATGGGATCAGATTCCCGTCTAAAGTATTGCAGTCACGGATAAAAAAATCGCAAGCGTAAAAACAAAATTTTAAAACGCAAGTAAAAATATATTGCACAAGATTTAAAAATGAAAGCAAAGTTTTCAGTATAGCAAACAATGGTCACGGATAAAAAATAAGCGTAAATCAAAAAATGAATGCATTTTTAAAAATAAGCATAAATCAAAACTTTAAACACATTTAAAATCATATTGCACAAAATTGAAATATTCTTTCCATACTGGACACCGTTATATGTGTTTGCCTGTCACTGCTGTCGGCCTACCCGTTTAATGTGGTCAACTGTGGAGGCAAGTTAACATCTTACAAGTTTCCTGAATACATCTGAAATATCATTTAAATAAACTGTTCTGATTTAAGTGTTGATTTAAGTGTTTTACTCTTTCTTCAGATGATATTGAGGCCTGGAGGAACAAATATGCCACCTTTCAAGATCCTTACAGCCCTGAGATGATCACTAATCTTATTAACATCTCAAACAGAGAGAAACTGCTGGAGCAGATTGATGCAGTCATTGAGCAGAAAAGATCCAAACGATAACATGAATTCGTGATGAATAAATAAAAGTATTAACAGTCTAAATATAGACTAAACTGATATGCATTCTATAATAAATATATATTTTAGTCTTATTTAAAGGGGTCATATGATGTGATTTCAATTTTTCCTCTCTTTGAAGTGTTACAGGCTCTTGGTAGAGCAGCGCAAAAGGTCGTGGGTTCAATTCCCAAGGAACACACATACTGGTACAAAATTTATAGCCTGAATGCACTGTAAGTCGCTTTGGATAAAAGCGTCTGCTAAATGCATACATTATTATTAATCAATTAAAGAAGATCTGTAAAGCTGCAAAGACTAAAGTCTCAAATCCAAAGACATTCTTTATAAAAGTTAAGAGTCAGCCACACCTACCTAAAATGGCTCATTCTAACACACCCCCACATGTCTACGTCACGATGTGGGAAGATTTGCATAACTCCGCCCAAATGTTCACACAAAGAAAGGCGATCCACTATTTCCAGCACTTAATCAAGCCACTCTTCTTTAATACATGACGTTTTATTTCACATGTCATTGCGTTTGCGCTGGCTCTCGATTTGAGCCATTTCGTCCACAACCATTAAAATATTCGGTTTCTACAGCGACTCATTTGGCACACATCATTCTCTTTCTATGAAACCTGTAAACCGCATTCACCGGTTCTAACTCTATAGCGGTTTACCCAAGCATTGCAATTCATTGGCTTTCACAAATGGCTTTCCCAACTCATTTAAGCGTGTGCGCGACTCATTTCTTCTGCGCGGCTGCGGTGGAACATTGTTCGTAACCTAACCTGCAGCAGCAGCACTGTGTGAGAACTGAGCTTTACCTTCTCAGCCAAGGGGAAGGAGTAGTCGGTTTCCACGGCGACAGCCAGGACCCTCTTGTATCCGTTGATGATGGAGTGAGGGATGGAGGCGAGCGTCGGGTAGCCGATCTGCAGACACACACTGGCGATGTTCCTCACACCCTGAACGGAGAAGAGCGACAAGTTACACAGACATCAGCAAACAAACACTTTAAGGCCTGAAGGGGGGGGATGAAAAATGAAAGTGAAAAACAAAAACTTAACAATAAAAAGTATAAAATATATTTAATAAAATGTAGTTCAACAATTTTTTCATTAAATATTAGATAAATGAATGGGGAAACAAATTAAAATGGAAAGTTTCAAATTAAGTAACAAAAACAAGTTTGAAAAAAAATAAAATATTTGACTTCATATCATTTAAATGATATATTGAAACTTTACATCAAATATATTTAATATATAATTTATACTTCTGAATAAGAGAAAATTGAATGAAAGAAATTAATTAAAATGTTAAAAATGACATTAAAAAAATCTAATTACTTAAAAAAATGTATATATACTTATATTTTAAAATAAAATATATTAATTGTATTTTAATACATATACATATATCTATATACACACACACACGAGTATATTTTAACACAAATTACTTTTTTAATATTAATTTCCTAAACAACTTAAAGGCACAATATGTAATTTTCGCCACTAGTACACAAGTCAGCAAAATCTATAACACCGTTCTAGTGGTTTTTGGATATTTTAATAAAAATCTTACATATTGTGCCTTTAAATGGTTAAATTAAGAATTTTAAATAAATATTTTAATTAAATGTATTTATTTAAATAAACCTAAAATAAATCTTAAATAAAATAAAAATGAAACGAATGGGAAAAAAAAGGTAAAACAC